AGGGAAACACAGATACACATCCATGTACAGTTATAACGTCGAACGCTGGACTAAGTGGAGCGTCCGGCGCTGTGGTATTTCGGATTCAGAATCTAAATGCGCTGGCTGCGCACGGAATATTCTTACTCAGGCAGGTCACAAATCACAAATCATGATCACTTGCCCAGTGCGCGTGAGTAGTCCTAAGACCTACAAGATATTGCGCTGTGAACGTGCCTGAGGGAGGGAGGCAGCTGGCCATCAATTCGGCTTCGGGATCGTATGACGATTTGGATTTGTAGATTTTGAGCGTGCCGCGTTCTTGACACAAAGATAAGATACTTCCTTCGAATTGGTCGAACGGTGCTGTGAAAGGAATTGATTGAAAGCCGTGTCGAAACCGAACCCCCGCAGCCTTCGGAAAGATTGGACGCGTGATGAACCCTTTCACGCAGGGCCTGCTGTTGTGATCAGTGCGACAGCACTTCATTCATCTGAAGGCTAAGGCAATTCATTACATACGCGCACACCTACCACACTTGGATTCAGATCGATCGAGGGAGGTCAAAAGGGTAGAAAGAAAGAGGATGTCGTAATACATGGGCCTTGGGCCTCGTGCCAGATCACCTCTACCAAGCAACGAATCTGAAATAGCCCAGGGCGTAGCAATCACTCAAGCGAGACAAGAATAGGTTGCAGCAGGCCCACGAAAAGGAAGGACATGGTGGGGACATATTGTATACCGAAGAAGTGGGTCTAGTGAATAGCGTTCTCGCTTTCTTACGTTCCGTCCTTGACAGTAGCACCCCCATTCTTTCGTTTGGGCGCGTCCTTGTACCATTCAGGTACCTCGTGTGCTCTCGGAATAGCCTTCCTCCTCATCAGCATAACCTCCTTCTCCTCCTCGAGCGCTCTCTCCCGTTCCCTTCGTTCCTCCATAAGTTGCTTCTCCCTCTCCTTCTCCCTAACCATCTCATCAAACTTCTCCCTCTTTTTTGCCCGAATATCCGTTTGGAATTGAATGGGTGCGGGGATAACAGGCGCGATCTGACCTCTCCGATTAGCGACCGTCGATTCGTGCATCGCGTGGAGAGCTTTGAAATCAGGGACTGGATGGAACCATTTATCGCGGTGACTTTGACTTCGGCTCTGAGCTCTGGATTCGACGATATTATTGAGGGACTTGCTGTTGTTGCTGTGACCGTTCGAATATTGAGATCGCACAGTCGATGACCCTGGAACAGCAGGTGGTCTGGGGTTGCATGGGACAGATGCACTGGGCTGAGCGAAGAACGTCAATTAATCGGACAATCCCAGACATGTGAGCAGATCAGGATCAACGTAGACACTTACTCCTGCCTTATTCCGACCTCCTACACCGGAAAGCCCAACGTGCGGGGTACTGTCATGTGGCGTCCCTTCGTTTTCCTTTTCCGAATCCCGCAAGGATCGTTGGGAAGAATTGACGCGAGGCAAGACCTTCTTGGCCTTCTCCTTCTGTGACTGGCTTTTCTTCGACAACGACGACACCTGATTTGATAATTTGCCTCGGCCAGATGGGAGGGCAGAAGAAGCAGAAGCGATCCGTCTCGGCTTTAGGCCCACCATCTTGTGAGCAGAAGCGTCAGGCTTAGTAGGATTCCGAGCACGCCCAAGAACAGATAAGGAAATTCTTCTGCATGTGGACGTCAGCTTGGGTCGTTTAGCCTGGGGAGCTTTAGTATTGGTATCGGGTGACCGCTTGAGGGACGTCCGGAGTGGTGAAGGAGGAGCGCCGGCGGTAGGTTCGACAGCTTGAGTTTCTTTCCGTGGAGAGAGTTGGGAAAGGGTCAGAGGACCATCGTCGCCATGCAAAGCTTGGGCTGTGCCTGGAGGATGGGGCAAATCGCAGGCTTGCTCAGGCAGGCGGTCGAGAACGATTTGATGCTGCTCAGTCGGTTTACCCGGGCTGATGGAACAAAGTGCCGGCAAATGGACACGGATGTCTTCTCAGCGTATGACGAAAGTGAAGGAATGAGGTACGCGTACCTTATAGGAGAAGGAATATAATTCTGAGTGTATTCAAGAAGGCGCTTAGCAATGGGTGCGGCTACCGAAATAGAGCTAATATCTGGGTTGAAGTTGTCATCGTCGAAGGCGACGGTGGCGAACTTGTCGGGGGAGGTGCTGCCTTTGTCAGCGCGAGCCGTCTGCTCAGTGTTATCGTGTTGCGATGCAATACGTTCTATCGGAGAGTATTTGCCTTTAGCAGTTGGAAACGTTGCTTGGAAATCGGAAGGCTTCTATCCAACAGGCGAAGACAGCATGAGAAAATAAGTCTAAAATTGACAAATTCATCACTTGTACTATGTTACGTACCGATTGCAATGCTGTCGGATTCGCGTCGTTGGCTTCTTTGCTGTTACTTAGTCCAGGAATGTGGCGAACAAGCGGTTTCTTTGCACCATTGGTATTACGCTCACTCGGGTTCGAGCTCTCACCAGGTAGTTTGACCAGCCCCGCTCTACGATCCAGCTTCTTCTGGAACGTTCGTAGAGTTCCGGAGCCCCCTTCACCGCTATCGTCGTCGACGACGTTACCCTTGCGCTTCATCTGGCGCTGGTTCGGCTTCTCATACAACAGCGAAGGCAACCGAATATCTGGCGGTGTTATCGAAGTTTGGATGACAGTCGCCACAAGTTCTGGAGCAATGGGATCAATTTGTTGATGTCCGTGTCGATGTGAGTTCTGGGGTGCATTGTTGAATGGCTTCGGTGTGACCTGGCCTAGCGTCGAGGTACGAGATGGTGTGGCTTCGGCGAGACACCCGAAAGTGATTTCGGCGACGTGTATGAAGTCTGACCGTTCGGCAAGGAGGAGAGTATCGGGGGAGTTCCCAGTCGGAAGTTCCATTGAAAATGAAGCATCTGAGATGTCTGGAAGGTGCCGTAGGCTCAACTCGTCAGACAAGTCACGAACCATAGCTGGATCTCGCCCGTCTTTGCAGAATAAGGTGATTACTCGGGTTCAAGGCGAGAAATAGTCTGTTGCCTGTGGTTCCAAGTGGATTTCGAGCTGATCACTGTGGTGGATTGAAGCAAGTCGCGGTGGACGTTGGGCACAGTGGTTCAGGTTCAGCCCTCGCGTTCAATCACCTGACCCTCTTTCCCACGGTCGATGATGAGCGTGACTTGGTTGCGAACTTTCCACCACTAGAACTTTACAACCAGGATTCCAAAGTAGGCGGCCGAATATACTGACTCACCTTTCCTTTGTTTTGATCTTCAGGAAAATTTCGATGCCGGGCGGGCGCATCATCTCACAAATCTAAGATATCGGATTTCAAAAGCGAAGTCGAAAACAAGAAACAAATGACGCAGTGTGGGCACTGGCATGGTAAAAGAACAATGGCAATCACTACATAGTCATGATTCGGTGGCGCTGTGAAACACGGTGATGATTACAGCTAATCGGGTTAAAGCGCAACGCGGAAGTTGCTGTAGCCTGTCAACGTACCCAACCAACGGATCTGTGGTGAATAATCTCAGCGCTCAGCCGTTCTACTGCAGCTGACTTAACGACTCTTGACAGGTTCTCATCTGTTCTCACAAATTCTTGGCTAACCTACAAATGGTAGCTTTGCTCCTTATCGCGCGTTTGGCGTTAGAGCGTGGTTCCTGGTTAGCTTACCTCCTCGATTTACCGCCCGCTTGGCCAACCCGCAAGTGCACCCTCACCCTCCCGTGGAATATTCCACTATATCCCCTTGTCGCGAGCCCTCACCCCCTTCGTCGCCCTCGATGGATCGCAAGATTTTCGTGGACCGGCCCCGCTGCTCCTAGGCCGACGTCAAAAGCATGACCAGTGGACCAGAATCTTTGTCTATTAAAGACTGGACAGCAGACCAGCCTGCTGGACCACGCAGATGAGCTCGCCGCCGTTCTTCCTCCCGGAAATGAAGGCCATGGACCCATCGAGCAGAATGCCGGCTCTGTGCCTATGAGCGAAGTTACTGTCAACCGGAAATGAAGCTACAGTGTACTTCTTCGCGTTTTTTAAAGTTCGGGTGGACAACGCATGAGCGTAACTTCCTCGCCATGCTCTCATCTGGTCCTGGCGTCACCGTCTACAACTCAACCGCTGTTTTAGGCCGGCCTATAATGAATTTTACTCGGACTCCAGTGCTACACATTTGTTCCAATTTCCGAACCGAACCGATACTCGCACCTACGTCTCCCCAGCGTGTCGTTGCTTTGTTCCTACGCACATCCTTGAGTACACCGGTAGCGTGAATATTACTTTCTTTCATGTACGTCACATTGCGAACTAAAAGTACCGAAGGGCAGCCGAAGGATACGAATCTGTCCTTGCGAAGTGCTTCAACGTTTTGTGGGGTTCAAGCTCCACGAATTTGGTCAAAAGGCGACAAACGCCGGTTTTGTAGTTTTGTCCGGCTTTGGGGTTTTCACTTTGCTGGCTTACAGCGGAGATTAAGCTCTCAATTGAAACCCGACACATGACAGCGATGCTAGAAATGGTCTATGGAGGAAAGGCGCAACGAGGCCATGCCTATCGCTTTGTTCATATCCTCTCAGCGAACGTCCAGCGCATACCACCAGTCAAGTAAGTTATAGGGAGCCAACTTCGTGATCAATGATCGAAATTAAAACCAGCACCATGCCTCGTGGTGATTTCACGAAACAACCTTGAACTGTTGGGGTGGTGCATGTTTCGTTCTGCTCCACTGATTTATCTTGGCTCGTCGGCCGACAAGGTCTTGAGCTTGAACAAAGCATACTTTCAGCGTCTGGCGTTCCGGGCCGCATTCGCAACTTGAGGGGCCTAATGGTCAGAGATAACACACGCTTTCGAAACCCGAAAGAAACGTCCGCAGAACGAATGATACATATTTGTAGCTCAGATCAATGTAGCACAAAGGCGCTTGCGAGACATCTCCCTAACGCCAGCCAAGCGCACAAATGGAGTCTTCATTTAACGACTTCTTGAGCACCTGAGTTGCGGATACTCTGTTACTCCCTCGTTTACACCAACAACAATGGGTGTTTATCTGCTTGACTAATAACGACGTCAACCCCCTTCAAGTCGCCATCCGTCTCCTGGGTTTGAAATTCTTCGTTGAGCCATGCAGCAAGGACCGGCAGATATCCGCGTTCAGTATTGGTATGGCCGCCTGAAGAAATCGGTTAGATGTTTTTGATGGACCGGCGGCGACCCTACGACTTACATAGGACCACGTTTGTTCCGCTAGCAATTGAAGCAAGGACTTCATGCTGCAATGCAAACGTGAGCGAGGCTACGGCCCACATCTGCTGTTTAGACTACTCACATGCGCCATTTCTCCGGTGAAATAGACATCGGCCTTTTTACCCACTAGCATCGACCCTCCTGACCCAGCGCAGATGGCTATGGTGCTGATAACACCGTGCCTCCCCGCATCTGTGCCGTACCCGACTTGGACTGCGATAAGAGTGTTAGTAGTTGTGGGTGATAGGGAGCATTTCGTCGCATCAGAGCGGCTCCGCATCGGCGACAATAACCACGCAACGAGATAATCGAAACAAACGCCCACTCACTTCTCTCCAGACCCAAATGCTGTTTGATCCTAGACTCTAGGTCGCTCATGGTGATCGGCTCGCTGAGAGTAACGAGTCTGCCTTCGGCCCCCTTTGTTTCTCCATCGGGGCCAATTTTGTCGCCAACGAGGGACTCGATTTTCCCAGCCTGCACACTCGCCGAACCGAGAACACCCTCGCCTAACCAATCATTCACTCCTCCCCACACGCTGTCTAGCGAAGTGTGCGGAGAGTAAATGGAGATGCCTTCTGCGACACACTTGAGAAGCGACGCCTGCAGTGGGTTGGAGAGGGTGAGCGTTTGAAGGGGTCTGAAAATCGGCGGATGGTAGGCAACAATGACGGACACCCTTTCCCTTAACGACTCTTCCAGAACAGCTGGTGTCAAGCTATAGCCATATGTGAGTTACGCCCCACGCGGGTAGTGGACGCCTTACTCGATGGTCAATAATACTTTATTTCGCCCCGAATGGACAACGGGAGATTCTGTCAAAAAAATAGAATAATGAGCATTGGTCATAAATCAAACGAGTAAATCCCACCAACCTAGAAGCAATCCGACCTACACAAGCCATCAACGTAAGCCATGATTCCAAAATATACTAATCAGCAATTCCAAACATTGTCCCATTTTTCTGCCAAGCGAAGAGGGGCGATTCGTTCCATGGAACGACATACTGCTTTGAGGAGGGCTGACATAGTGCGGTCCAATTCCAACCTTTGCCCTGAACTGTATGTAGTTGGATGGTTACACGTTACGGCAGAGCGCTTATCTGATGTCGGTGCACTGAATTAGGATTTGGATACCTCCTCGATGCGCACACAACGGCGGTCGCTCGGAAACTGGCCACTGATTATCCAATACCCGTATCAGGCGTAATCAACATATAGAAGGATCAGAAAGGTGTCTACGACATCCCAGGTCATTTCACCTCATAAGACCATCCCGAGCCAGAAGAGTGTCACAAATCGTGTACTTCACTGTCATAGGATCCAGTTCCAATAAGTACAAGCTTGTGCAAGTTGCTGTTACTGTTGATCATGATCAGCAAGCTCCGCTTTTACATCAGTAATCCCCCGCACCTGACTGAGCGGGTCGCAGTCTTCTGTGAAAGGACACATTCTGTCTCGGTAACGTCCGACCGTCGATGTTTCGAAAGCCGGTGTCCAGTAAATCATGCGACGTGCCATGCAGATGCGGATGGATGGTTCCGTAAGTCTTCCGTGTCGTGTCGTGTCGTTTTGGTCCTCAGAGTAAATCGATCCAACGTATGGGAGTTTGGATTGCAAGCGGTCCTTATCTGCCGTCCCAGGGACGCCTCCCGTAGTGATGGCTGTGAGGATTCCATTTGAACTATCCAAATTGTGGTCTGAAAGTGCTTCGGATCACCTTCAAGTGGTCCACCGATGGTCTACCCAACGGGTTGTACTGAGTCTTGCTCGCTTCAGATAGCCAAGAAGTAAGTAAATTGAGTTCCATAATGACCTTGAAAATTCTCTATCAGACGTCGGTTCCGTTCTAATGGCCTTGCTCTACAGCATATTGGCACCCCTGATTATTTTTAGCAGTTACTGAACTTCCGGAGGCCTGAACCAAGACGTATACAATAGATCGTCTCACTGATACAGGGCTGCCTCATACTTGACAACGCGGACTTGCTGACGAAACTAACCAAGTCATCGGCTGTTAGCGGGCATTGCAAGTTTCCTTTGGCAGTATCTGCTGAGCAGAAAAACGCCACTAACGTAGGAGAAAGCAGCGCCCCAGTGATGATTACGAAGATGTGTCTTGTTCTATGGCATAATCTACAGGTGTGCCTACCGATCGACCTCGCCAAACACCAAGTCCTACATGCAATTGTCAGTGATGTCCGCGGAAACGCACAGGGTGAAGCCTACCATAGTTCCAATAATAGCAACGGCATCGGCCAACATGTGCTGTATCGGGGTGGAAAGGTTAGATAGAACAAACCAGAAATCACAGAAAAATAGCTGACATCTAATTAAAGAAATTAGAGTCAGCGAAGGTAAAGTCTGGTGGAAGGAGATGGAGCATACGTCTCATCATGAAATCCGAACCGGCGAGATGCGCAAAACCTGGGGCACGGATACTGCATCGGTATGGACGATTTGTTCCGTCCCTGCGATTTGATAGGTTAGCTTGTAGTCCAGAGAACAGTAAGTCCGCGGATGTATCAGACGCACGATACAAGATAGACACCCATTTCACCCTTCGGCGCCTCAATTGCACTGTAAGTCTCGCCTGGTGGAACGGAATATCCCTCGCTGAAGATCTACGGGGAATCTTGTGAATATACATTCCCGACAGCTACGGTCGCCAAAGATTACCTTGAAATGGTGGATAAGGGACTCCATGCTTTCTTTCATGGATGCCCGCGGAGGAGGGACGAGCTTGTGATCATCGACCTTAACCGCACCAGTAGGAATTTTATTGAGACACTATTGTGAGAAAGTATTAGTCTCAGGTTTCAGCGTGGACGAGTTCGCATCACAGACCTGGCTGATAATCCTCAAACTTTCTCGCATTTCTTGAACTCGGCACAAGTACCGATCGTAGCAGTCACCGTTTGTGCCCACAGGGATATCAAATTCGACCTTGACGTTCAAACATATGTGAGTGATAAATCCTTATTAAGGGCATGTCGCGTACTTCATCATACTTATCGTATGGGTGAGCCTTCCTCAAATCCCATGGTACGCCACTCCCACGCAGCATAACACCAGTGAACGAGTAGTCCATCGCTTGCTTCGCTGTCACAACGCCTACGCCAACGGTACGCTCCTTCCAGATACGGTTCCCGGTAACGACTTCCTCAATTTCGTCTATTCGGCTGCTGAACTGGGTCGCCCAGATGAAGATATCGTTAAGAAGTCCGTGTGGAAGGTCAAAGGCCACGCCTCCAGGACGGACGTAAGCGGTGTGCAGTCGAGCACCAGATACACGTTCGTAGAACTCCATGAGTTTCTCTCGCTCTTCGAAACCCCACAAGAAGGGTGTTAAACCACCAACATCCATGACGTGGGTGAGGACGGCCATAAGGTCTACGAGATGCGATTAGGTCGGTAGCTAAAACAGAGAGAAGCGAACTCACGGTTCAATATACGCGTGATCTCTCCGTACATGGTTCGTATCCATTTCGCCCGCTCGGGAACTTCGATGTTAAGAAGTTTCTCAACGGCCATAGAATAGCAAAGTTCATTGGTCACTATTGAAGAAGGATAAGGCAAACCGAGCCAAGTGGAACCGAAATACTTACTCATTGACACATAATCCAGACGGTCAAAGTAGGGCAAGGCTTGAATGTACGTCTTATATTCAATCAACTTTTCTGTTCCGCGATGAAGGAGGCCAATGTGCTAAAAGGGCACCGCGATTGAACCGGAAGTCAATGTGATGCACTCGATATAACTCACTGGATCCGCACGCAAAATCTCCTCTCCATTGAGCTCCAGAATCATTCGTAGTACTCCATGGGCGGCAGGGTGTTGAGGCCTAATGGCTTGTTATGAGACTCCCCCTCGCAAAGTACATGAGACATACCCAAAGTTCACTAACAGCACGTCGAATTCACCAACTGTCCAGTTATTTATAGGGACCTACAGAACTCACCCGTAAAGTGGCGCATTTTTGCCTCTTGTCTCGACCCAGTCTCCGCTAAAAGTTGCGAAGCGGTCATGCCTTGTAAATCTTCAACTGTGTGATAGTCGAAGGCATTTTTGGCTTGGGCATGCGTCGTCGAAGTTTCCGCTGGTTCAGCCTGGAGTACAGACGTTGAGGCAGATATATTACGGATGAGGCGCCTTGGGACTGCGCTCGCCGTGCGCGGCAGCGAACGCAATAGCATTGAGGCCATGGTGGTCGGTGGCGAAAGTGGTCGGATTGGGGCGGGTATAAGGTTGTGATGTGACAGTCACAAGCTCACGGTTGATCAAGCGCCAGTTCTGACTTGACTACCACACACAGCCGACTCGCTCAACATATGCGGTGGTCCTCAGCCTTGACATTGCTCTCGGTCCTAGGAGGTGTATCTCTGTCCTTCGCCAGCGAGGAAAAACCATGTACTATTCACAGCAACGGGAAATATTATGACCTTAACCGTCTTAAAGCAAGGTAGGCATGTAGTGATTACGCTATACTGTAAGGTTTGGAACAATGCAGTTCTTTCTAGCAAGGATTACGAGTTCAAGACACTGGGCGGGCACGACGCAGTTCTGAACGTTTGCAGAGCGGTGCAGCACGAGACGTGGGGTTTGAAGACAGAAGACCCTTCGGAAGTAGCTGGATTTATTCGTAAAGACCACGGAGACTTCTCTATAGGGTATGTTTCAATTCACTGCGAAGTAGTGGTGGCTCACTGGAATGTAGGAAGGTTAATACAACGCTGACGGTCAAGGATTCGAATTTGTTACTCACTTATCACGGCGGGTCGGTCTGCAAATCTACAGACGGGCTGCGAGCGACAACGACCATCAAGTTCATATGTGATAGCTCAGTCTTCTCTGCTGGCGTGCCTCGCTTTGAAGCACAGTTCCCAGAGGATGACGACACGGCATGCGGGTTCTTCATAGAATGGCGCAGCCATGTGAGTAGAGACGATTCATGATAGAAGCGCTCGGTTTGCTGATAGAGTTGGCACCAAACAGTATGCTTGTCCCACTGGTGAAGGGGGTCCATGGGGGTTCTTCGCTATTTTGATAGCCTTGTTTGTCAATTCATGTCAGAAATTGTGACACGCCTACTAACACTGTTTACAACAGTGCGCTAATCCTCGTCATGATATACCTTGTCGTTGGGACCCTTCACAATCGCTTCGTCCTTCAGCTTCAAGGCTTCGATCAGGTTCCCCAATTCTCTTTAACCAGCATGGTATACCACGCTCGCCATGCCATAGACTGGCTCCGGGAAGCTATTGCAACAGGTTCCTTCCACATGCCGAACCCTTCGGCTACCAATCCCGTTAGCCATCAATCCAGCGTCCAAGGCATGCCGCACCCGCAACACCCTCGACCAATCAACCGAAGCGGACGCCCAGAGACAAATCCCTTCAGCCATCAGACCCAGGTCGGGTTAGGGTCCTCAGCTCAGCTTGACCCGACGAAAGCGCAAGCACTCCCACATTCTCGGCGGCGACAATTCGATTTGGAGAGTGGGGGTTCTCAAGAAGAAAGGGAACACATACTAGGGGTCGATGATGGTCTTGATGAACAAGAGCTCGTCGATGTACCGAAAAAAACGGAAACTTCCCCGCAGCCGCCTCCGACCACCGACCAGTCGGACGTGGCCGACGTCAGAGGCCGGGGCTTGGGCATCGACGGTGTCATCCGACTGTAAACCCGTAAATAGCTCTTTCTCAATGGAAATTTTCGTTTCTTCCAATTCCATGACAAAGGCGATCACAATTAAACAGGCTGCGGAACCGAGAAGCGTCGCCATGTCAGCGAGGACATACTTATCAAACGACTTACTAACATGGGCTTGAAGATTATCCGCTCGCAAGTACTTATCGCCGCTGAATTCTTGTCGGTGCGCTGACTTGCAACGTGCGTTGCAACCTGTCTTTTAATGTCAAGACCACCGTTCCTAAACCATCCGCAAGCCGAATATAGGATGTGAGCCAGCTCACCGCCATGTAATTGCTAGCCGGTGTGTTATTTACGTGCATCTGTATTGTACCTACTTATATTGCCATACAGTTTAGTACGGTAAATGAATTATTCAGGGCTTAGGTCTATTCTTAGTCGTAAGTCTTCATCGGATAACGACTTTATATTTGTACTACACCCATATCCTCCTTCGTCTCTCTTGGAAATTTTCGTGGCAGTAGTGGGGCCACAGGCCCGTCTGTTTGTCACCCCGCCTAGTTGTCACTGGTCGTCGACACGACGGGGAAAGAAACCGCACCAACTTGGGTCATGAGATACCGAAATGCTTGAGCTTTGCACATAAGTCGACTTCTCATCATACCACGCTGGGCTTAGCTGCCAATCCCATCGACAGCGTTCTTGCTTCTCTGCATAGCCGCCACGCGCGCAGTGCATCACATCGCCTTCAACTTCCTAAACGCAGAAAGTTTTTTCCAACTTTTCCAACTTTTATCTCAATGGAGGATATAGCTCCTCTCGGGTTCCGTTTGAGATTTGTACACCAAAATGTGCGTATCGAAACCTGTGTTCTCTTTTTATTCATAGGAACTAACGCATGCCCGGGAGTGTTGTCGTTTCGCTTAGGTGAACCTAATTTTGTGTTTCATGACGCCTATCTAGCCCACTGAAATGAGCTAGCACCGTTAACGATCCCTGGGCGTGCTGCGTCGGTGTATCGGAGGCTCCGGTCTCATCAAGTAAGTAAACCAGATACTTGACACGTGCACGTTCAGGAGACTCCATAGGTGATGCATCCGTCGAGGGTGTCATACAAGACGAACTCAACTAGCCTCGGTCCTGGTCCGTACAAGCCCGGCGCTGCCCAGCGTGCCTTGGGTTGGCATAACTCCATTTCGGCCAAAGCCAAAGGTAATCGTAGCCAATCTCCCGATCCATGTCTCCATGCCGGCATCTGCTTTTCTCCATGAATAGGTCTTGTATAGAAGTAGCGTGGGCTACCTGTGTGTGGGCGCCTCCCTGCCTGTTCGGCAGATTGCATCAATAATTTATCAATGTGGTGAAGATGACATTGATGTCCCTCTCGTGGGTTTCATACGGTATGAGTAGGGCTCATCATATCTAGGCACGATCCCCTGGGAGGCGAAAGCTTCCTTGAAAGGTGGAGTTTCACGGCAAGGGGCGCTATACCACAGAGTAGTAGCCATCCCATTACTATTAGCGTATCGAAGGGTGGTCAGTTGATACAGAACCAAGATCGTGCTATAAGGTTTAATATTGCAGAGGGTGATCAGTGTTCATAATCAAGCGGGGTGTTCGGAATAGCAAAATACATGTGCTGCATGACAAAACTACCGAAGCAAAGCAAAGTGTCTTGGAGGGTAAAAGTACAACCGTCATCCACCCAAGTTTGGTTTAGTTACACGCGAGGCCGCTTCGGTGGTAAAGATGGTCATTATGGGGGGCTAGAGATGTTGATACAGGGTGGGTTAAACCATCATTTGCTGGAGTAGAAGATACAGGATTCCATCGCAAAGTGCTTGTATTTTCTTGACCGTCGCTGGAAACTTGATCCTCGATGCAAGCTCCAATAAAGGCCGTCTATGCCTCTCCAGTCCCTTAACTGCCTCGTATACGGGAGGGGAACGAGCGATACTGTCCTTCCCGCTGCTTGACTCCCAGGTTATCTTCCCATGCCCCCGCATCCAGCTCCCGATTCCGTCGCTCTGGTTAATGACGGGGAGGGGATCTTTTAGCAAGTCCGACAGGCCTGAGTTGGACATGCATTTGAGCGTTGATAGCATCGCGCAATAGACGTCACTATGGGCGACCCAATCGCTGACGTTTCGATTGCCCAGTAAACTCTCCATCACTTCGGGAAGACCTGACATGAGAAAGAGATGCTTCATAGAAGGGTGGGGCTTGTAATTCTCGTCCTCTTCATCTGGATTCCGCAAGAAAACTTCAAGGGTCTTCATCGCCCCAACGATCATCTTCTCCCACTCGGCGGTTGATGATACGGTTCGCGAAGCCACAAGGTCGTTGAACTCTTGTCTCGCTGCTCGGCCACCTGATCCCATGATACGTGCATGCTCGCGGTAGCCATCATCGAAGCTTACTAGCGTTTCGAAAACGGCGATTGCGCGGCCCTCCGGACAACATGTATTAATATGACACGAAGACCGCCCCGAGCAGCCTTGTGGGCAGGGAAGCGTGATAGAGCAGCCACGACAAGATATCGTCGAACAGCTGGAGCACCGCGCGTGCATAAAATCGACCAATGCTATCGGCGGACATTTGTAACCAGCAAGGTCAATCTAAACACATGTTTGAGATGCAAGAATAGATATAATGAGAGTATGACTTACGCTCTGGTGCTCAGACGTGATGTCCGCCCCGCATCTGGGACATGAGCGAGGGCCGATGAAGAGCTCACGAAAATGGTGGAGGACAACGTCAGGCCGGGACAGATCGATATCGTCTTCAATAAGGGGATATCGTGGTCGATGGTTTATACTCGCAGACGCGGATGATCCGTTTACAGACGGGGTGGAAGTTCGAGTTCTGCTACGATCGCGACTACCTCCACCTGACGGCTGCGGAGAGGGAGGAATAGGTAGCAGGGCAGTTCGATGAGGAGGGTGCCCATGAGGCATTTCCCGATCATCAACCAAAGGGATATCTTCAGGAATATTGCGAGGGCGACTCATCGACAGTCCCGACGGTGGGTAAGGGCTGGATACAGACCTGTACTGGATCTCGCTCTGAACAACGGCCTCGCTGATGATATCGGGCTGCAAAGACTCTACATTCCACGCTCTAGCCAACCGCCGAGCAACAACTTCATCTGGGGCGTACCGAAGGTTGGCGGCGTTAGCAGCGGCAGCAGAGGCTCTACTGACAGGACGCCCAACCATATCCATGGCTGGCGTCCCCGCTCTCGAACTACCACCATTGGCATCGTGTGTATGATGCCCGTTGACAGCTGGCGTGATTGGCCGTCGTTCATATCGAGGTGCCGTGCTATTTGGTCGAGAAGGTGGATAGGTCGTAGCGGTAGATCCAGGCATGTTGATAGGTCTACTACCCGAAAGTCGGGATGATGTACGATGCGGTATGACCACTGGACTCGTCGGTCGTTCCCCATGATATGAACCATTCGGTGGCGGCCTTGCCTCCTCAGATGGATACCGCAAAGGTGAACCATAGTGAGGTTGATCGGGATGCCGGGGTACAGACGATGATGGAGGAGGAGCAGCCGACATGGAAGATCGACTAGGAGCTCGCGGAACAGTACGCACATCAGCGGCACTTGGCGGTCTCCATATCTGATACTTCTGAGGCGCAGAATCGCTCCGCTGTCGGGAAATCTGGCCTGGCGTGTTCGCTCGTCCTGGATATCCCAACCCAATACCATTCGACGCCCGTACTGAAGCTTGAGAAGGGGGTCTCGGGGAGTTTCTAGAAGACCAGTCCATGATCTCGTCTTCCGCTACTACTCGGGCTATGGCTGCATCTGATGAGACGTCCTCGCGGCGATGTCTATTGGAAAGCATTTCGTAAATGGCTTGAGAACCATCGTCTGGGACAGGGCCATAAGGACCACGATCTCGTGCAATTATTGGGGTATTTGATCGACTTGCACCTCGCGGTCTAGGGTGCAGCGGGGTATATGGGCTTCTGGGCCTCGTGTTCGTAGGCGATGGAGGCGCTGCCGAGCTTGGACGGGAGTAGGACGTCGAGGACATGGTAAGAATCGAGGACTATAATCATGAACGATCAGCCAGAAACATTTACTAGCGGCGGTCGGCAGAGCTGGTCGTCGGTCTCCGCATTCGTGCGGGGCAGCGAACACGAGGCGGTCGCGGCGGGCAGCGCTAATTTCTGGTGAGGAAAACGTGACTACGGCAATGGCCGGCGCACACACGTGCATCGTGTCGCGCCGCCTTCACCAAATGTAGAAATAGAGGCGGCCTCCCCTGAGCTCCCCGGGACACTTGTTCAAAACCCAACTTAGAAGATTTACGCAACACCACTCAAAGATATGATTTTCTCTCAGAACCCGAACCCTTCATTTTCATTTCTCTCATAACGTTGTGAAGGAAAAATGGCGGGGGGCATGACATCACATCAGTAAGGCGCTTGAGAGATAACAATTTACTTTTAGTGCAACACACATTCGGGTTACATACAGTTAGGCTGTCTTCACAGTTGACACAACAAATCAGAGCCTGCCGAAAAAGTCTAGAGGCGGACGACTATGGGTCGGCTGTCGCGATACCTCACTTAGTATGATTACGACAGCAAGGGCGGGTCAGATACATACGAAGGGCTCAGGCTTGTTATCCAAGATCTTCTCTATCTTCTCCATGATCTCTGGCGTAAGTTTTGGGATCACCTCCAGCGCCTTCAGATTATCTACGACCTGCTGAGGACTAGAAGCACCGAGGATCACAGTGCTCGTATTCGGGTTCCTTACGAGCCACGCCAGCGCAAGGGCAGCAACCGAGCATTGGAGCTCTACAAACAAACCGCATTTTAGTTTCGCTAGCCAGTGACGCTGCCAATGACGATGCAAAGGGCGAAGCACTCGCCTTTTTCCGCTAATTCGGTCAGCTTACGGACTTTGCCGATTTTTGCGAGACCCTCTTCGGACTGGAGGTTTTTGGCCGTATTACTGAACTGAGGGATGGTCGCGAGTCGAGATCCTTCCGGGATCCCATCGTTGTACTAAGTGTCGTGCGGAGCATGAGGCGGGGAGCAGGAGTAGCAGCGATCAGATCCCACGTAGGCTAGACGTTCAAGGGAAGCGTACCTTTCCTGTAAGAAGACCCATGGCAAGCCCCGAGTAGACCGTGGTACCCATATTGTAGTGCTTGTAGAGTGGGCTAAAGCCTCCGGGTTAGATTTCTCGAAGAGCAAAAAGGCGCAAGTGAGCAGTCACCTGTACTCCTTCTCGGGGCGCTCTCGGTGGAACATACTATGGACGGATTGACATGTGAGCGTCGAGAAAGGGAAACAAACGCAAGGAAGGCCCACGACTTACTGGTGTTGACATTGTTCAGCGACGGGTGCAATGAGGTGGAGTTTGGAAGCGATGTCTAAGCGAGGACAGAACTTCAACAGCCGACAGTTCTACTGCTTAGAACACTCACGATGCGCTTCCTCGATGTCCCGGGCCGACCACTCAGACGTCCCCCAATAGAAAGCCTAAACACAAAATCAGGACAAAACAAAACAAGATTAAGGCGCAAAATGGACGCACCCATCCTTTCTCTATCACATAGTTAAACGCTCGAACCACCTCTTCCATTGGAACTGCGCACGCGTTCACTCACACGTCAGTTTGGGTTGTCAACCCGTGGGGACGCATGGACCGAACACGCACCATTTGGGTCTGGGCGATGTGCAAAGATCACATCAACATAATCGAGCTGTAATCTCTGTAGACTCTCTAATGTTCCTTCAATGATGCTATCAACGCGGCTCGGTCAATACCTTGGTAGACGAGATTCATGTAGGAGGCTTACTGTTTCCGCGACAGTCCGCCAGCGTTGGGTCCAGGTCGAACGCCCCAGAAGATCTTTGTAGTGATGACAAGGTCGGACCTGCGAAACCCCAGTTCTTTGATGACACGCCCCCTGCAGCACAAAACAGAGTTGATCAGGTCGCAGCATAACGCCGTGTAGAATGATGAGGTTTACATACATTTCCTCTTCCGATTTGCCTTTTGAGTATTCCTCTGCTGTATCGAACATATTTATGCCATTATCGAAAGCAGTTTTGATTATGTCCTATAGCCGAGATTATCATCCATGCACCTTACTCGCCATGAGTGCAGCCTCGCGCCACATGCCTTGACTGGATCCCCGACAACAGTGCCGCCAAGAGTGAGCCCTACGCAAATGGAAATATATCAACGTCGATCTGCCTTATGCGTACACTCTCACTTACATCCTCCAAGCGAGAACACGGGCACCCTCAATCCACTGGAGCCTAGGCGGCGGAAGGGCATACCCTTCGTATCATACTCGATTTTGACTTCAGCTGGAGGCATGAGGGCGGACGGCAATAGATTTGGGCGAAAATGATAACCCAATCGACGTCTTATCTGCTGTGGGGTGCTGTAGTCAGCATGGGGAACTGATTCGCCATTAGGCATGATCACAGATAGACTTACACGGACTCGGCCCGTATGAGCACCGGACGCTGCACGGGGGAAACTTCGGCACTCTCGAGAGAAATGGAAGGTGATATTTCAAGAGAGGGTATGCTCCCATCCCATGACTGATGGCGCCTCCTCAGCCAATGGCTGCCAGCCTGGCGTACGTGCGTTCAACACGAAGGTGGCGTTGCTGTACTCACTCAAGACATGGATCGGCAGCTACTATATTGGACAGCGATTATTTCAAGTCCTTTGCCGCCCCGGCGGCCGTTGAGACCTGAGAGCACTCGCAGAGTTTCGTAACGCGTGAAATCCAAGTGAAATCCATTACGACAACATTGTTGCCAGCCTTGAATCCACCAACTGACGTCGATGCTAGCATCTGAACATGTGGATGACAATGCGGGGAGGGGGTACTTTCAATGCCTCACAAACGGTAGGTCTACACCCTTCTTGAAAGTGCGAATTTACAAGCGTGATCTTCTGGATATACATCATCTTTCATTTGTGGGGACTTTGTTTGCGAAATAAAACGCGATGGTCTTACGCGGTAATCAACGCCTTGAGCTCGCCCTTGTCCTGTAAGGCAGCGACATCGGAGCTCCCTGGGAACGCATGAATGACGCCGTGATATGAGATTCCGTTGACAAAGCTTACCTCCAACATGTTTCTGGTCTAGGAACAATCGTCTCAGGCATTTGTGCAAAGAGTGAGAAAACGAGCAATACGTACTGACGAAGATGTTAGGTACGGTTCGTTGTCCGGTCTTCTCTGCAAGATAGTCTTGTATCTGAGCTCCGTCGTCGCGATCGTCTAGCCTAACTCCATTGTCTACATCAGTGCCATTGGCCCAAGATACTTGACATACTCGTATATGATGGTATCGACGTCGGCGTAGTTGCTCGCGAAAAGCTGCTTGGCTCGCTTGCAGTACGGGCAGTACGATTTGGAGAAGATTGCCACTGTGTGCCCGGCGATGGCATCCTAATACGCATATCTTCGTTCAACGTCTCGCAAGGCGTTAGTGCGACAGAAGACCCACTTCCACAAGAGACTTGGCAGACATGAGTTGGCGTTGAGCTGATGAAGAATTCGACGAGGAGGCTGATGAGGAGAAGAGGGAAAAGAGGAACGACATCGATGGCCTTGCCAAGGGTCTATATAAGCCTCGTATCATGAGCCAGCTTCACGCAACCACACGGTTTGGGCGGAGAATGGCGTCAAGGTCACGTGGTCACGTGCCCCAGTTGACTCATCATGTGTCGGGCGAATCCGATCAAATCCGATCACGATCGAAGCAGCTTAGCACGTATCACCACACTCTGGAGTCTGGCGCGTAACACATATGGTGCACATCCCAAGATTTCTCGACGTAAACCTCGAATTTTTTTCGGCCGCGGTGGTATGCACCACCTTCTCACTTGGCGCCCGCCGATGCCCTAGTCTCGGCGACTGTTTGTCAAATATCAGTTCCGCAGAGCTAATGGCCTTTAACCTGCCCGACGACCACTTCTCTCTGGAAAAGGACGGTTCCCAAAGGGGGGAGCCGGACGGTCCCACGCCCTGGGTCCGGCCCTGGACCCTGAGACCCTTTGATCCGGCCCGCTGACGTCGTTTCTGATCGTTTCCAGGCCGTTCCCTGCAGCTCCCGACGGAACGGGCGCGCAGGGCCCTGCGCTTGGCGCCGTCGGGGTCCCTGATGCGCTGCTGGCGCGCTCCCTCCCTTTCCTTTTCCTCCTTCTCTCTCTCACCCTCCTCCCCGCCCTTTCCATTCTCGCTCTCGACCTGGTCCGACCCTGCGCACCCATCAAGAACAGCTCGGAAATGGACGACGACGGCTCGGGAATGGAGGTTGATGGATCTGATGGGGTGGTCCCAACTGGGCAGGTCGTTCCCACGGTCTCGAAGCCTTCGGATTCTGTGCTACCGTTTCCGGGAAAGCCCACACCTGATGGAGAATTCACCACAGTGTACCTTGATATGTGAGTGGTTCTGTCTTGTGGTGGGCCATGGCCAGGTCCTCACTGCTTCCTGCAGCAACCAGAGGAATGCTGTCCTGCAGCAGTGGTGTGCTGGCTTCAAGCTTGCCAAGAGTGGGAACAAGGCAGAGATGACTGCTCGTCTTCGTGCGTTCAGCAGTGACCCAAGTTGCTGGGACAGGTGAGTGCCCATTCTGATCTCCTCTGGGACAAGATGCTGACCATCTTCAACACTATCAGCCTCTGGGTTGGTGCTACCAAGGCCCATCGTAATCCCAGTGGAATTACCAAGGCCCGTTCGAAGCCAAAGCAGTCCACCCTTCGCCGTAACAAGCTTTTCGAAGAGGTCGGCTCCTCGTCACGGTTGCTCTCTGTCTTGCCAACAGATGATGCATTCGATAATCGGACCACAGAGGAGAAGAACGGCATCCTGGCTTGGGTGAGTGACATGCCACTCACTTCTCTCTCTCATCTGACCGCAATGGCAGGCTGAACGGTTCAAGGCCAAAAACCCTTACCATCCTCCTGAACACCCAGTCAGGCAGGTGACAAGAGTTGGCCATGGCGCTCCTGCTCCATCTGTGGCTGTCTCAGGTCACACTATTGCCCACGTACGTGTTTACCCTCCTGCTGACTGTCCTGTCGGGAGTCTGAATGGTTATCTTAGGGAGATATTCAGCATATCAAAGACTCGCTTGCCCTTGTCACCAGCCGCCTGAACCTTCTGCCATCTCCGTCTCCTTCCACACCAACAGCCCACTCCTCTGCCCCTTCTACTCCACTGCCTGTCCTTCCCACCATCTCTGGTACACCACCTCTCCCCTTGAAATCATTCACCTTGACCCTTGGGGATGGCTTCCGCTTGTTGTTCACTGCTCACGATGTTCCTGAACCGCCATTTCTTTCCTTCGCTAAGGATCTTGAGAGCCTTCCCCCCATGTGGTCAGATACTTCGCCTCTTTGGGATCCAAGCAAGGCCCCCTTCAGCATCCATGGGCACCCAATTGCGCTGGTCCATTGGAGAGAGCTCTATTACTGCAAGCCCCAGCAGTGGAACGGGTTGAAAAAGCGTTGGCATGAACGCAAGGTGAGTACTTGTACATTGTTGGCTGTTGCAGATGAGTGACAAACACTTCAGTTGATTGCGGAGCATTGGTTGGGGACAACTCCGACTTTGTTCTGGACGGAGTTTACCAACTCCAAGGGTGAGCGTCTTAGCTACACTGCCATCCTCAGTGAGTTGCAGAGGCGCAACAAGGAGCGGAACGCTGAGGCAGCTGAGGCAGCTCGTGCTCAGTATGGCTCAAACTTTGCTGATCAGTTCACATATGAGAAGCATGGAAAGACTCATGTGCTCAGTCAACCGTCTGCCATTGCAAAGCACTTTCATACCATGGAGTAGACATTCAATACTAGACTATATATATAGCCATCTTATATCTACATACTACAATAATCAGTATGCACATAAGCAACTTCTTCCACAGGATGGGCACTTGAGAGAGGGTGGCCTCTCTAAGTTGAGAAAGTCCTCCCTCTTTTCTCCAGGCTCGTCGTTCCAGGAGATGAGATACTTGACTATAGTCAAGTGGGTGAAATCGGTGCTCCATCCTCCCCAGTCACAGAGTCGACGGAGACTCCACCGGAGATCTCCATGCAAAAACTGACATCCACCACGACGGAAAGAGTGAGTTCCATATGGGTATGGATCTAACCGAATGTCCAAGAGACTGTTCCGGAAGAGCTCCAAGAACTGCTCGCTTGTCTGAAAAGGGTGTGAGCATGTGCAAGAGAAGGTCCCATGTAATGCAGATGACTCACCATGGCAATGTCGGTAGCGGAGAAGCGGTCTCCAGATAACACCTTTCGAAAGACATATCCACTGGAGAGCTGTGAGGCCAGAATCCAGTCACACAATGCACGAACTGGGCAGAGATGTTGGAAATAGTCAGGAAGGCGGCGCAAGACAAAGGGCTTGATGTCTGTCAGAATAGCTAGTCATCAGATATAAGAGAAAAGGCGTCTAAAAGAACTCACCACCATTCTGACTGGTCTTACGAAATGGAAGAGTCAGAACAATCAGGTTGTCGTCATGAGCGTCCCATTGAAGGTGAGAGAACTTGATCTTCAAGACTTCGTCGACTCGTAGCAGGCATAGATATGCAATGGTGAATGCAGCAAAGAGAAGTCGACGGGTGTTCCCACCAGCCCACGGCACTTCCTCCTCTTGATCTGCTGCATTCTTGCGCTTACCTGGAGAGTATTGTTTGATCTCCCAGTTTTCAGGACGGTGGTTAAAATTGTAAAGGTCCTTTAAGATGTCCTACATGTTTGTAACAAGTGAATACTTGAAAACAGAACGGTTAAAAAAATCTCACCTGGGTGATAGCCCGTGCACTAGTTGCTGCCTCTCCTGCGTGAACCTTTTAACAATGTCAGACATGAATCAAGGACCGGTATACACCCTATTGTGCTCACCTTTCGTCGACGCAAGCTAAGCATATAGGCAGATACCTGATTCGATATTGAAGGATTTCCTTGCATTGTCCCATCATCCCTCTCATGCCACGCAAGAGAGCCTAAGCCATGGACACGCCCAAATGCATATGTCATGGCAGCTCGCATCTTCTGCGCGTGAGAGTATGAGCTACGTGTATCCGTTGACAGCTTTGGAGAGGCGTCAAGACGGATCACGTCACATCTAGAGCCATGATTGAGTCAGCAAACAGTGAGGGGCATACAGATTGGCTTACGCATCCATGATCCAGGCAATTATCCACAGTGGGGTATCTCGGTGAGGTGCCTTGCTGAAGACCTCCCCATCTGCACGAACAAACTTCTTCTCAATTGCAAACTTCTTGCACTGAGCCATTAAGCTGGGCAGCACCAGGTCATCCTCTAAGATGAGGAAGA